TTGTTATCATTTTATCATCATTATTATTATCATCATTGTCATCACCATTATCATTATTTGCTTTTTTTATCAGTGTCCCCTCTGCCCGACTCACTCCCCCCCCGAACTCGTTTACTCCCAAACAAGGAAAGATAAGAAAGATTAAAAAAAAAAAAAAAGGAAATTTTGAATCACTCCTTCACGCTGGCTTCAACAGGTCTTCTCCGCCCCTTGATCGAGGAGCCATTAAATTCCTTGGTATCAAAGGCACCGTCGCTTGATTTATTGGAGGATAGGAGGATAATCGAATTGATGTAGGATTCGAAGGCAGAGAGGCGGGGGGGGGGGGTGGGGAGGGGGTGGGTGGGGGGTGGGTGGGGTGGAGGAGAGGAAGGGGAGGGAAGGGAAGGGGGGAGGGAGGGAGAGGGGGGAGGGAGGGAAGGGAGGGGGGAGGGAGGGGGGGAGAAGAAGGAGAAATAAAAGAAGAGACCCCCCCCGCGGCGATATAGATGAAAAACGGGGAAAAAAGATGCTGATGTAGATGAAAAAGAGGAAAAGGGAAATAGAGGATCAGAAGAAGAAAAGAAAAGAAAAGACGACGACGACGACGAAGAAACAGGAGGAGAAGGAAAAGATGAAAAGAATCAGAAGTAAATGAAAGAACGACGGCAACGAAAAAAAAGAAAAGACAGAGAAGAAGAAGAAAAAGCGCCCCTCCCCCCCTCCTCCTACCCTTCCCCCTCCCTCCCCCCCTCCCCCCCCCTCGCCCTCCCTCCCTTCCCCCTCGCCCTCCCTTCTCCCTCCACCTTCGCCCTCCCCCCCCCCTCGCCCACCCTTCCCTCTTCCCCTTCCCCTCCCCCCCTCCCCCCCCCGCCCCGAGACCCCCGCGGCGCTGTGTCTCGTAACCGGCCGTGGCACTCCGGGAGCCGCTCCTCGTGGTCGGCGCGGGGAGGCCTCTCGAAGTCGGCGATGATGCTGATTTTATGGGCGGCCGCCAGGGGGACAGGTGGGCGGGTGGGGGGGAGAGGGTGGAGGGATAGATGGGTGGGGGGAGATTTATGGTGGGTGTGGGTGGGGGTAAGGTGGGGTGGGGTAAGGGTGTGGGTGGGGATTGATGGGTGGGGTGGGGTGGGGTAGATGGGTGTGGGTGGGAGAGGGGGTGGGGGGTTGAGGGATAGATGGTGGGTGTGGGGATTGTGGGTGGGGTGAGGGGGGGTAAGGGTGGGGCGGGGGTAAGGTGAGGGGAAGTGAGATTGGGTGGGGGTAAGGGGTGGGGGGGATTGTGGGTGGGGTGTGGGTGGGGATAAAGTGGGGGGAGGGGGGTAGATGCGGGTTGGGGGATGGATGAGGTAGGCGGAGGGGGGAACGAGTGTGTTTGTCTGGTTTTGTCTGTCTGTGTCTTTGTCTGTTTGTGTTCTTTCTATTTATTGTTATTTTTTAAATTATTTTTATTATGCTTTTTTGTGTTATTGTTTCATTTTCTGTTTCATATTATTACGAAGGGATGTCTTTCCTTTCTTTCTTTTTCTCGAAATGAAAACCCAAATTGATTAACGAAACGAAGGCAGTATCACCAAAGATCTGTATCCCGAACGATTTAAAAAAAAATGGTTCCAAACGCCACTAAACAAGAATCTAAAACTTGTAAAAAAGGCCAAAGAAAAAAAAACTTTCTCCCACCGTTAAAAAAGAGAAAAAAAGGATAACATAAATAAGAATAGAAATATGATAAAACACGTAATGTAATCCATGAAAAACCCTCTTTCTCCCACCGATAAAAAAAAGAAGAAGGATAACATATATAAAAATAGAAATATGATAAAACACGTAATGTAATCCATAAAAAACAACTCTTTCTCCCACCGATAAAAAAGAGAAAAAAGGATAATATAAATAAGAATAGAAATATGATAAAACACGTAATGTAATCCATAAAAAACAACTCTTTCTCCCACCGATAAAAAAAGAGAAAAAAAGGATAATATAAATAAGAATAGAAATATGATAAAACACGTAATGTAATCCATAAAAAAAACCTCTTTCTCCCACCGATAAAAACAGAGAAGGATAATATAGATAAAAATAGAAATATGATAAAACACGTAATGTAATCCATAAAAAACCCTCGTTTCTCCCACCGATAAAAAGAGAGAAAAAAGGATACATAAATAAGAATAAAATATGATAAAACACGTAATGTTAATCCAGCTCTAAACTTCGCCTGACACGCGTCCGTTTCACGCCATAAAACTTGCGAAAGAAAAGAGGGTCTGTTTGCGTGGAGTTTGGGGGGAGGGGGGTGGGGTGGGTGGGGTGGGAGTGTAGGGGAGTAAGGGGGGAGTGTGGGGTTGGGTGGGGGGCTGGAGGGGAGAATAGGAGGCGAGAGGGGAGAGTAGAGGGAGGTAAGGGGGGGGGGGGGAGTGTAGGGGGTTTAGGGGGAGTAGAGGGGAAGGGGTTGGGGGGCTGGAGGGGAATAGGGGGTCGAGAGGGGAGTGTAGAAGGGAGGTAAGGGGGAGATAGGGGAGATAGAGGGGGGGGGGGACTCGCATATTCGCATCTCTCGCCCTCGCATAAACCCGGACAGCGGATCAGTCGCCTTTTTATAGCCGGATGGATGGATTTGAAGCTCCCCCTCCTTCCTTCCTCCCTCTCTCCTCTCTCTCTCTCTTCCTTCCTCCCCTTCCTCCTTCCCTCTTCCTCATTTCTTTCTCCCCCTCCTCCCTCTTCTCTTTCTTTACCTCTCTCTCCCTTTTCCTTTCTTCCTCTTCCCTCCCTCTCTCCCTCTTTTCTTCCTCCTCCTCTCTCCCTCTTTTCTTCCTCCCCCTCCTCTCTCCCTCTTTTCTTCCTCCCCCTCCTCCTTCCTCCTCCTTCTCTCCCTCTTCTCTTCGTCCCCCTCTTCTTTTCCTTCTCCCGGTTCTCTCTCCTCCCCCTTCCCTCTACCCCTTGTGTAGTGTCTTGACCCATGTTCCGGACCGTGAGTTTCTCGTGTGATGGAGGAAACTTTTTTATGTATGACAGAGAGAGAGAGAGGGAGGGAGGAGGGGAGGGAGAGAGAGAGAGGAGAGAGAGAGAGAAAGAGGAGAGAGAGAGAGAGAGAGAGAGAGAGGAGAGAGAGAGAAGAGAGAGAGAGAGAGAGAGAGAGAGAGAGAGAGAGAGAGAGGAGAGAGAGAGAGAGAGAGAGAGAGAGAGAGAGAGACGGGGAGAGGGGAGAGGGAGAGAGAGTGTGAGTGAATGAGTCAATCAGAGAGTCAGTGAGTCAGTGCGTGGTGTGTGCGCGAGCGTGCGTGCGTACGTATGTGTGGCATAAGGATAAAAAGCTAAGAAAGTAAGAAAGAGAGAGACAGGGGAAATGGGCGGGGAGGGGAAACATAATGAAAACGGAACCGAAAGGAAGGGAAACGGAGAGGCAGAAGGGGAGAAATTATAGTGCTTGTTTTGGCAAACTTCCCGAGGCTGCTCCGAGTCCCTTACGGAAACGAGTCGCAGGCTGAGGCGGAGAGAGTCAGCCGAGCGAAAGTGAAAAGGAAAGAAAATGGCGAATAACATCAAGAAAAACATGAATGAAAAAGTTTTCCTTCCATCCAGTACAAAAGAAAGGAAAGTAATAATAATAACAAATATTAAAGACTAAGAATCCATAAGTAAATAACCTTTTTTATATTTTATTTTTTGCTGGAAACCAAAATACGAATCAACACCAAAACGAAAATCCCCTTTTTGTTGTCATTGTTGTTATTGTTTGTTTATAGAGAATTCGAAGACTTCATCCAAGTATTCGGACGCGTCCCTCCAGCCTCAGATGCATCAACGAAGCCACTTTTCACGCTTTCGAAGGAGATTCCCGAATGCCGTAAACCGCTGCCTCTGAGTCATTCCAGAGATTCCTGGACACGAAGTCGGGGAAGGGGGGAGGGAGGTTAGGGAGAAGGGGGAAGGGGAGGAGGGGAGGTTAGGGGGGAATGGGGGGAAGTAGGGGTAAGGGTGGGAGTGAGGAAGGGAATGGCGATGATGGGAGATAGGGATAAGGGTAGAGAGGAGATAGGGATAAGGGTAGAGAGGAGATGGGGAATGGGAGAGAGGGAGAAGGAAGAGGAGGAGGGAGAAGAGAGGGAGAGGGAGTGGAAGATGAGGGAGAAGGAGTGGGGGAGGAGAGGGAGGAGAAGGAATGGGTTATTGAGAAGGAGAGTGACAAGAAGGAGGAGAGGAGACGAGAGACAAGGGAAAGAGAGAACGAGAGAACGAGAGAACAGGCACTTGATGGGTCATGTCTTCTTCCCCCCTTCCTTCCCTCTTCTACCCCCCCGCCCCCCTCAAGGGCAAGGGAGGGACGCAACCTTCCCCACCGAACCATCTGAAAATTAAAATGGGTTAGAGATCCCTCGCGAATGGGGAGGGAGGCCCATGTTTGCCTTAATGAAGTCGTATCCAAATGACTTGTTCTTCTCATTGGCTTCTTTTATTTTTATTTTTTTTCTTATTCGGTATCTTCGTCTTCGTCTTATTATTATTATTATTAAGGTCTTCTTGTAATTATTTTGTTTTCATCTTCCTCTTCGTCTTATTATTATTATTATTATTATTATTATTATTATTATTATTATTATTATTGTCTTCTTGGTCCTTGTTTTTTCTTGTCTTTTTTTTCGTTTCTTTTTTTTGTCTTTTCTGTTTCTTCGACCTTGTTTTTCCTTTTCTTTTTTCTTTCCGTTTCCGCTTGTTCCTTTTTATTCAGTTTTTACACTCTTTTCTCTTAATTGCTCATTCGCGCTTCGATCATGTAAGAGGCAATTACCGGAGAAAGAGAGAGGCAGGTAGTTAGATAGTTATATAAATAGGCAGATAGATAAGTAAATACATTGACCAAAGGAGAGAGAGAGAATGAAAGAGAGAGAGAAAAAAAGAAAAAAAAAAAAAAGGAAAGACGAGAGAGCGAGAGACCATTACAGTGATTACTTTTATCGACAATAGGGAAAAAAACGAAGAAAAAAGGAAAACAAACAATAACAACAAACAACAACGACATGGACAACGTAACGCACGCCCTCGGAACCGCCCGCAGTGGCCTCTGTCGGCGCAAGTTCCTCCGGGTTCTCGAGGACCTGCTGCGCCTCGTGGGCCACGGGAAGGGGGCGGGGCTCACGGTGCAGAACGTGGCCAATTGCAACCCACTGCAGCCGATGGATTTGTTGGAGAAGGTCAGTATGGGCGGAAAACGGCGATTTATTTATTTTATTTTTATTTATTATTATTATTATTTATTTATTTTTAGCGTGTATTCGTTTTTTTATTATTATTATTATTTATTTATTTTTAGCGTGTATTCGTTTTTATTATTATTATTATTTATTTTTAGTGTTATTCGTATGTTGTTGTTTTTTTGGTTGGTGTTGTAGTTTTTGTGGATGTTTTGCTTGTTGGTTTGTTGTTTTTGTTTTCATTGTTATTGTTATTATTTTGACTATTATTATTATCATCATTATTGTTATTATTATTATCATTATCATTATCATCATTATTGTAATTCATTATCATCTTCACTAGTATAGTAATCGTTATTACTATCCTTATCATTCCCATTGCTGCCTTAGTTGTAAAAGAAATTGCAAGAGAAAGACAACAGCAGACCCGACCTCTTCATTCGGGTCTGCTCGTTGGCTCGCGTGACCACCTCGAAAGCAGCGAACTCTTCACTATAACGGCCAAGTATTGCCAGTCACGGTGACTCAGCAGATTTCGAAATGGGATGAGTCGCGTTATTTTTTTATTGATTTTAAATTGGGCGATGATGACGATGATGATGATGATAAAGGGGGAAAGAAACAAGCCGTTAAAAAGTAATAGTAAATAAATAAATATAAAGAAATAAAAGAAGATTTAAACAATATAAGAAAATAATGAATAAAATAAATAAATAAATAAAAAATAAAAATAGATATAATAATAATATAATAATAATGGAAAGTACATATGGTGAGATGATAGATAGAAAATATGATAGTTGATCACATAAGCGTTTTTTTTTTTTTTTTTGGCGCACCCAAGAGAGATCGAAGTGTGGAAGTGGATGAGAAAACACTCAAAGAAAATTGCAAAGTTGATGGTGATTGCAGTCATCAATAGCATCAATTCACTCCCTTGTGTATGGTGCATGAGATTCAAGATTTGGTTCCGTTAGTGATCATTTCATTAAGAGGTGATATTGTCAATATGTGTGTGTGTGTGTGTGTGTGTGTGTGTGTGTGTGTGTGTGTGTGTGTGTGTGTGTGTGTGTGAGTGAGTGAGTGAGTGAGTGAGTGAGTGAGTGAGTGAGTGAGTGATGTGCGTGTGTGTGTGTGTGTGTGTTGTGTGTGCGTGCGTGCGTGCGTGCGTGCGTGTGTTTATTTATCTTTTTATCATTATTTTTATTACGGGATGGTGTTTCTCGTGATTACTGTGGATCCGTTGTTAAATTCCTGTCCATTTACAATTACGGAAAATTTTAAGGCACGCGGTGCATTTTCAAAAGTAAGTAATGATAGAAGTAATATCGTGTATTTCATTTTTTATTTATTATTAATCCGTTAGGTGATACGTGTAGATGTCTTTCCGAAACGCTCTGATAGGCCTATGTTTTTAATAATCATTTTAACCGTTTTATTCTGAGTTTTTGATTATCATTCTGTAATATATATTTTTAACTTAATCATTCTGACTTTATTTTTTTTTAAAGTGATTTTTATTTTAATCGAAAAGGTGTGATGATTGTTGTGGATTTGGTGATGCTGATGTAATTATCTGTTGAAATTTTAACGGATTATCTTATCATTGCGGAGAAAGTCGGTGTCACGTGGTTATTGCTTGCATAAAATTTTATAATGAGTCGATTAAATGCAATTGGGAAAGGAGACGAAACCGTTCGTTAATTTCTTTTATCGTGATTTTGAGTGTTTATGTATATTGTATTATAGATTGTGTTGTGTTCGAGGTTGGGAGGTGAAAGTTGGAAGGAAAGAGGATCTGGATCTAGGTTAGGGAAGTGGATTTTGAAATAGATTTTTTGAAGCATTTTTGAAATTAGTGTTGTCGAGTAACGGGTCGAGATACACCCATGTTTTCTCTCTTTCTCTCTCTCCTTTCTTCTGTCTCTCTCTCTCTCTCTCTTCTCTCTCTTCTCTCCTCTCTCTCTCTCTCTCTCTCTCTCTCTCTCTCTCCCTCTCCCTCTCCCTCTCCCTCTCTCTCTCTCTCTCTCTCTCTCTCTCTCTCTCTCTCTCTCTCTCTCTCTCTCTCCCTCCCTCTCTCTCTCTCCCCCTCCCTCCCTCTCCTCCCCCACCCTCCTCCCTCCCTCCTTCCCTCCTTCCCCACCCTCCCTCTCCCTCCCTCCTCTTCTCCTCCCTCCCTCCCTCTCTCCCTCCTCCTCCCTCCTCCCTCTCCCCTCCCCTCTCCTCTTCCTCCCTCTCTCCCTCCCTCCCTCTCTCCACCATTCCATCACAGGCGCCGTGTTTTAGCGTCTTCCAATTTTCCGCCCGACCAGCGCCGGGATTTCACTGTCGAAAAATGGCGCCGCCGCGTTTATCAAGACGCGGGCCATTAGATACGGGTCGTCTTTTCGAGTTTTTTTTTTTTCCTGTTTTTCCTCTTTTTTTCTTTGTTCTTTCGTCTTGGTTTGTGTTTGTTTGATGTGGTTTGGTTTGGTTTGTTTTCTTTTTTTGCTATTGCGTTTTAGAGATTAGTTTTTTATTTCTTTTTTTTAGGTATTGTAAGCGGGAAGTAAATTCTAGTAAGATTTAAAAAAAATATATTTATCGAATGAAAACAAACAATCCAAACAACATAAACACGATTCTCGGTAACATGACGCCCCTTTCGCCATCCCCCCCCCTTCTTATCACTTTTTTTCTCTCTCTCTCCTTATTGCCATTCGGAAACCCTTCGCGTCAACGGAAAAAAATCTCCCAAGAAACCGCTTTGGACTCCCCGGCGGGCGCTTGGCCGTGGCGACAAAGCGACTTCCGACACCGGGGAATATTTCTCCCAATTTCCCTCCCTATTTTTCTCCTTTTTTTTATCCCTCTCTCGTAAGAACAGTGCCATTTCCTGCACCTGCCGCCTCGCCCTCCTTCGACCCCTTGGCACTTTGGAGTGGGGGGGCGTGCGGGGTAGGGGAGGGGAGGGAGGGAAGGAGGAGGGGGATTGACAGATTATTCTTCATAAAATGTCGGTGGATATTTATTCCCAAAGGCGTGTGTTTCGGGGATCTGGGAGTGGGTGGGGGGGGGTTTCTTATTTCTTCTTTTACTTTCTTTTTCATCCTTTTTTCTTATTATTATTCTCCTTCGCCTTCTTTTCTTCCTTCTGTTTCATCCTTCCTCTTCTCCCTCCACCTTTTCTTATTTTCTCCTCTTCCTTCCTTTCTTCTTCTTCTCTGTTCTCCTCCCTCCTCCTCCTCTTCATCCCAACCTCCTTCCTCTATTTCCTCCTCTTCATTTTATTCCTCTTCCTCCCTTCCTCTTTTTCCTCTACCTCCTATCCTCCTCTTCCCTTCCTCTTTTTCCTCTACCTCCTATTCTCCTCTTCCTCCTCTTCCCTTCCTCTTTTTCCTCTACCTCCTATTCTCTTCTTCCCTTCCTCCTCTACCTCTTTTTCCTCTACCTCCTATTCTCTTCTTCCCTTCCTCCTCTACCTCTTTTTCCTCTACCTCCTATTCTCTTCTTCCCTTTCCTTCTTCCTCTTTTCCTCTACCTCCTCTTCCCTTCCTCTTTTTCCTCTACCTCCTATTCTCCTCTTCCCTTCCTCCTCTACCTCTTTTTCCTCTTCCCTCCCTCCTCTTCCGCGCGCGTCAAGGGGGTCGATTTGCGATTAGGAACAAAGGCGAGACCTGTTAGCGGTGTGACACGTTGTCATTTCTGCGTCTCGGATCCCGTCTTCTGCCGTTCCTGTATTTCACTTTGTTACGTTCCTGGGTTCTTGGGTGTCGGGGGGTCGGGGTGTCAATGGCTTTGTCTGTCTGTCTGTTTTGTTTCCGATCTTTCTCTCTCTTTTTAATTCTCTATGTCTCTGTTTTTTTTCTCTTTCCCTGTGTGTGTATGTCTCTGTCAGTCTTCTCTGTCAGTCTCTCTGTCTCTGTCTCTGTCTCTCTCTCTCTCTCTCTCTCTCTCTCTCTCTCTCTCTCTCTCTCTCTCTCTCTCTCTCTCTCTCTCTCTCTCTCTCTCTCTCCCCTCCTGTCTCCCTCGCCTCTTTCTCTCTCTCTCTCTCCTTCTCTTTCTGTCTCTCCTCTCTCTCTCTTCCCCTCCTGTCTCCCTGTCGCCTCTTTCTCTCTCTCTCTCTCCTTCTCTTTCTGTCTCTCTCTTTCTCTTTTCTCTATATTTTCCCCTCCCACCCCCTCTTTCTCCTCCCCTACTCCTCCTCCTCTTTCCTTTTCCCATCACCTTTTTCCCCCCGTCTCTTTTTCTCATGTCCATAATCCTTTTATGTCCAACGTGTCGTCGCCTTTTTAGCCTCCTCCAACCTTTCATTTGTCGCAGCTGCCTCCGCCATCAAGCTTTTGGATATTGGAGGGGTCGAAGGAGGAAGGGTGGGGGAGGGGAAGGGGAAGGGGAAGGGGAAGGGAAGGGAGGGGGGGAGGGGAGGGGAGGGGAGGGAGGGAGGGGGAGGGAGGGGAGGGGAGGGTAGGAGGGAGAGGAGGGAGGATGGGATGAAAGGGATGGTAGAGAATAGCTTATGATAATCTTATTTTGTTTATTTCTTATGGAAGTCATTAGGCAATACATATTTTCTCGTCACATAGACTCGCTTTGCGTCGAAGGGATTTTTAAGAATATGAAAAAAGGACGTGATAATGACACCAACTAAATTACCAGTCGCTGGCGTTCGATTTGATCCAGAACCATGAACGTACACGCACACAAACGCACACACGCTTACGCACACACTTATGAAGAGTTGCGAATAAAAAACTGCATGATACAACAATTACGCCACAACCACTATCAAACAAACAACAAAGGGAACTACAAATATACCAACAACGCCACAACCAAGATCCTGAAGGGATATCAAACAACAAAAATAAACAACAACAAAAGGATAACCTGCAGCATCAACAATGACAACAACAGCAACAATAATAACGTTACAACAACGACGAGGACAACAAAAAAACAACAAAACAACAACCCACCGAGGCAATTGCGAGGCTATCCATCATGCCCCCCACCTCCCCCTCCCCCCACCCCGGCCGACAAGGCAAGTGTCGTCGAGTGAGAATTCCTCCCTCGTCAGGACCCCCCCCCCCTCCGCCGCTGATAAATGGACTCGCCCGCTCGCCTAATTTGCTAATGAATAAATGTTACAAATTATTGTGCTCTTTCTCCCGAGGGAAATGAATAGATATGTCGTTTGTCTTTATCTCCGAGTGGTGAGTGTGGGGGGCGAGTGCGGGCGAGTGTGTGCGTATGAATAATGTGCGAGGGGTCTGATGCATACAGCTGTATCGTTTATTTCTGTGTATACATTAAGTACGCACGCACGCACGCACGCACGCACGCACACGCACACACACACACACACGCACACGCACACACACGCACACAGCACACACACACACCACACACACACACACACACACACACACACACACACACACACACACACACACGTAGTATATATGTATATATGCATATGAATATTATATACAGTCCCCCCCCCCAATAGTCGGACATATTTCTCGAAGCGACGCAACTCTGACCCACAAAATCTATGATATATTGACATATTAAGTACTGGATACATATTGTTACTACTACTACTACTACTACTGTAACTCCCACACTTATAATTTACAATGATCTTAACCACCACCACCGTCGTTCCAATTTTCCATCAACCTCACCATCATCATCACAACGATTATCACCACATCACAATATCCTCCTAACGCCACTTCTTTCTCTCTCTGCCAACAGGTCCACTTGTATTTCTCGGCGCTGCCCGAGGACAAGGTGCCTTACGTGAACTCCGTCGGGGAGAAATACCGCATCAAACAGCTCCTTCACCAACTGCCGCCGCATGACAATGAGGTGAGTTTGTTCATGAGTTATTCATGAGTTAGTCATGGGTTTTTTTCGTGAGTTATTCATGAGTTTTTTCGTGAGTTATTCATGAGTTTTCGTGAGTTATTCATTTTTTCGTGAGTTAGTCATGAATTAATCATTTTTTCGTGAGTTATTCATGAGTTTTTCGTCTGCACGGGGGAGGAGGTGACACATAAAGGGGGAGGTGGGAGGGGATTGCAAGGGGGTTTGTTTGAGGGTGTACTATTAAGGGGGAGGGGGGGAGGGGGAGGGGAAGGGGTCAAAATAAGATTAGGTGTATTGTAGATTTGTGGGCCATTGTGGATGAGGTCTTTAAGATAAACTATGTATTATTATCATTATTATTTATTATTATTATTATTATTATTATTATATATGTGTGTGTGTGTGTGTGTGTGTGTGTGGTGTGTGTGTGTGTGTGTGTGTGTGTGTGTGTGTGTGTGTGTGTGTGTGTGTGTGTGTGTTCTGTCTGTCTAGCTTATTGTTATGTCACATTTATTTTGTGTGAGCAGGGCGAGTGATTGATAATGTTCATTTATTGAAAGAGGGGAAAGAGGGAGGGAAGAAGGGAGTGGTGGAATGACGGAATAGGGAAGGAGAAAATAGAAACAGAAGGCGAGAGAGAAAATTGTATAAAGGGAAAGCAGAGAGTGTCAGAGGAAACATGAAGATAATTAGGATAAATGGACGAATGAGAGAGAAATGGAGAGGCGAGAAAGAGAGAGGTAGTTAGCGCCCTCCACTCCCCTCGCCTCCTTTGTCCGCCCATTCCTTTCCTTTCCCATCCCCCTCTCCTTCCCATCTCTTCCCCTCACATCCTCTACCTACCCCTCCCCCTTCTCTCCATCCTCTACCTTCCCCTCTCTTCCCCCTGCCCTTCCTCATTTCCTCTCTCCTCCCTTCCTCCAACGCCACCCTCCCATTCCCCTCTCCTTCCCATCTCTTCCCTCACATCCTTACCTACCCCTCCCCCTTCCTCTCCATCCTCTACCTTCCCCTCCCTCACTCTTCCGTCCCCCTCTCCTTCCTCCCCTCCCCCACCCCCTCCAACGCCATCCTCCCCACCCCCTCTCTTCCCCACCCCACCCCCTCCAACGCCAACCCCGGAGGTCATCTGCCGCGGCCCCTCCTCCCATTGTGACGCGACCGCCTCCCTCCCCGAAAACGTTACTTATTCACACCTAAATAACGTTTGCGAGTTCCCTAATGGCGGCGGCGGGCGCGGGAGTCGGCGCTGACCCATATGTTGGAAGGGGGTTGGGGGGGGTGAGTGGGGGGTTATGGGTGGATGAGGGGGGAGGAGGTTGGGTTTGGTAGTGGGGGTTAGGTTGGGTGGGAGTGGGTGGAAGTGGATAGGGGGGGAAGGGGGAGGGGAAGGAGGTGCTTATGGGGAGGGGTAGGGAGGGGGTGCTTATGGGGGGAGTGTTGGGAAGGTGGGCTTATGGTGCTTAGGAAGGGGTGCTTATGGGGAAGGGGGAGAAGGGTGCTTATGGGGAAGGGGGAGGAAGGGGTGCTTATGGGGAAGGGGGAGGCAGGGGTGCTTATAGGGAAGGGGGAGGAAGGGTGCTTATGGGAGAGGGAGGTAAGTTCGTGGTGGGCTAATGTACCCCGTGTGTTTATTCGTCTTAGACTGTCTATCTGTCTGTGATCGATATTTCTCTATGCACACTTTCTCTCTCCACAACACACTCCCTCCTAAACCTACCATACCATTCCCTCTCTCACTCAACTTACCCCCCCCCCTCATACGACTCCCCTCAACCCTTCTATCTGTAAATAAATAGCCTAACGACCTTCCTCGCCGTCCTCCTGCAGGTGCGGTACTGCAACGGCCTCAGCGACGAGGAGAAGAAGGAGCTCCGGCTGTTCTCGGCGCAGCGGAAGCGAGAGGCCCTGGGCAGAGGCTCCGTCAAGCAGCTGCCGGTCAACCTGCACTCGACGATGACCTGCGCCAATGTGAGTGGAGGAGAGCGTGTTTTTTTTGTCCTTGTTTTTATGTGTACTTTTGATTTTTTTTTTTCATTCAGTTATTTTTCTTCTTTGTGCGTTTCTCATGTGTTTCTGTCCCAGTCTGGATTTTTCCGTTTTCTCTGTCTTTCTTCATTTCTCTTCCTCTGCCTCCCTTTCTCTCTTTCTCTTTCTCCTTCTCTCCCTCCCTCCTCTCACCCACTTTTTCTTTCTCCCTTACTCCCATCTTCTCTCTC